AAACGGGAGGTAAAGAACGTTGCTAGTTACAAATACGATTGTATAGTGCGATTGTAAGCTGTTCCATAGCTCGATCCCGCTGGAAAAAAAAAGAAAGAAAGAAAAACTTTTCTTTTGTAATCATTGCGGGTTTATAGAAGTGCTAGTTTGCTTTAACTACTCCTAAATCTAATTCATAGACGTCACGTCGCGAAACACAGAACTACAGTAGGCCTGCGTATTCAGAATTCATCCCGTCTTAAGTCTTATGCATCATTGTAGCTTTCTTTTCCAATTTTTAATGACTGACTTTTCTCCATCCTAATGCCCGGAACCAATGATCGAGATTACAGATATTATATGTAGGCTAAACGATGGTTGTCAGTTTAAGATAGTTTACATTAAAACTGGCAAAAACTGGGTTCTTGTTAATCGCGTTAAGGCAGAAGTTATCAAGACTTTCGGATGATCTTTCTATTTATTCATTTTTCAATAAGAAATGCCTTAACTGTGCTCTGTTCTGTTATAAAGCCGACAGGCAGCAAGAGCAGAAAAGAAGTGAAGGGAGAAATACGAAGCGAATGACGTGTGCTTCTCAGCATTTTTCATTTGTTTTGTTTTTTAGATCGTGTGAAGACAGAGCATTTCAGCCAGTTCTTGCTAATTTTGCGTTAGAATTGTACTGTTTAATCGAGAAATTGCTCTTCTGTTATTTATTTATTTAATGATTATTTACTTTTCTTTGAGCTTAATAGTATAGATCTCTTGCTTAGGTTAAGTAGCTCGCCGTTAATAGCTTTGCTAATTGCGAGCTACCAAAGATCTATTATCTGAATTTTTGAAATAAAGTTGTCGAAAGTAAAGCTGGACGCACAAAAAATACATCCTCTCAGTTTCATTGTTGTTGCTTTCATAGTTACAGAGGAATGGGGTGTGGACAAAATCATGCCGAAGTAAAAAAAATAGAAAAATTAAAATCCTTATCATAAGATAAGGGGAGATGTGATGAGTGAAAATGAGATGAAGGATGCTGCGTGCTTTGGTACCTTCAAGAGGCTTGTCAGGCTGTGGAAGGGTTTTGAAACTGAAAAAAAAAAGTTAGAGAAATAAATTAAAATTATATAAATAAGTAAATAAATATATTAATTGACTACTTCCTCAATGGGGCTTTTCAGGGCCAATGGAAACACACAGTTGCGGGAAATACAACTATTCTGTCGATGTCAACTGTGTCTTTTTATTTTTTTGCTTTGATACTTGCAGGGTGTGGTCCAGTGATTGAAAACACACTCAGAAGTCCCGGATATCCTAACGATTACCCAAATAATACAGATTGTATTTCTCCGGTTCCTATTCCACAAGGCATGGTGATCAATATTACCATTAACGAACTTTACCTGGAGGATAGTGTATCTTGCGAGTAAGTACTGATTTTTAGCGTATTATTAAGTTGTGAGGTCCAGCTACTTGGATTACTTTCTCAACAGAATGTAAAA